CTTAAGTGCATCTCTACGACCAAGTCTATATATCGTAACCTTCACTGGTATCTCTCGACTAGGGATGGACTTAAGTGCATCTCTACGACCAAGTCCATATATGGAGGACTTGTTGAGGCGGAGAGAAGGTCAAAGGTCAGAGGTTATCGTGATGCGTGTGACCAGATTACAGGTTTAACAAGGTCAAGGCTGCTATCTACCTGTTGCCTGCTTAGCTCTCATCCCGGACCCCACCTGATGACCCTTAGAGCAGGTCACAGCCGAGGTGCTACAGGTGTGGAGGGTGGGGGAGTGGGTGGGGGAGTGGGTGGGGAGTGAGTGGGGAGTGGTGGGGAGTGGGTGGGGGAGTGGGTGGGAGAGTGGGTGGGAGTGGGAGGGGAGTGGGTGGGGGAGTGGGTGGGGAGTGGGTGTGGGAGTGGGTGGGGAGTGGGGGTGTGATGGTGAGGTGTGGTTGGGAGGATGTGGGTAAGTAGGTGGGAGAGAAGAGGGGACAATATGGAGGGAAGGTGGAGTGGGAGGGTGGAGTGGGAGGGTGGGGTATGAGTGGAGGGAAAGAGTGTGTGTGGATGGAGAGGGGTGTTTAATGTGGGTAGAAAGGAGGACTGTGGATAGTATGTGGATGTGTGGGTGTGGGGAGGTGTGAACATGGGTGCAGGGAGATTATGTGGTATGTGGGCGTGATTATGTGGTATGTGGGCGTGATTATGTGGGAGGAGGGGGGGGGAGGGAGGGGAGGAGGAGGGGAGGGGAGGAGGAGGGAGGAGGAGGAGGAGGAGGAGGAGGAGGCATTACGAGAGGGGAAAGAGAAGAGGAAGACTCGTTTATCTCTCTCTCTCTCTCTCTTCTCTCTCTCTCTCTCTCTCTCTCTCTCTCTCTCTTCTCTCTCTCAATACACCTATATTTCTCCACCCCCTCATCCCCCTCCTCCACCCTCACCTTCCTCCTTCCACCCCTACCTCCCCTTCCCTCCACCTAACCACACACACTGAGCTATTGAAGACACAGGTCCTTCAACAAAACCCTCTACAATAGCCGACAATAATCAACAATAGCGTAATAATAGCGGTGGCTCACTTGTTCGGTCATTGTCGGTCTGGTCTGGTCATTGTCGGTCTGGTCTGGTCCCCGGTGAAAGACCTGAAATGAGACAATGAATCCTTGAAAATGGTTCGTTCGTAAATGCCACAGTTTGGATTTGAGACAGTGAGCTCCTGTGATGGTCAGAAGGATGCCTGGGTATAAATTCCTAAGGTCGAGATTTGATTCATATACCTGTATGAATATGAGCTTTATTGTTTCGTGTTGGTTAGTATTGTATTGGATCTATTGTCGACAGAAGCAGAACTGAAGCGTTTCGACTCATGTTTCGACTTGTGGTTTGTGTCCCTGTGGAATAAACCTCCTTTTGTGTGTTTGTGGTGTTTTATTTGTGTGTTTGAAATGTTTAGGTTACGGAGGACGTATTGTAGTTAGATATTTATACAGGTAAAGGTGTATAAGTGTTTGTTTAGATAACATTATGAGCACAAACAAGCGATCAGTAAGGCAACACACACACACACACACACACACACACACACACACACACAGAGCAGTTAACAACAACAAACAACAACAAAACACCAAACAAACACATACACAAACAACACAACTGACCACACCAGGCCACATCTCCCATCATCCACGAGACAATTTTTTACGGAAATGTTAAAATATTGTTGGTTGGTCGACCCAGAGGACCGCTATAAACCATCTTGTGTATAATATAACCTTCCATCACTATAATGTAAACATTCAATAAAATTGTATCATTATCTATAATCTGGTGAGGGTGTGTGTGACGTTTGGGGCTTAGTATAATAATGTTGGTATTGCCCACACACACACACACGTACACACACATACACACACATACACACACACACACACACACACACACACACACACACACACACGTACACACACATACACACACACACACACCTTGCATTCTTCTGTTGTATTATTATCAGTAGTTTGGGGAAGGAAAGTTTATTTTTAATTTAATTCATCATTTTGTCTGTGTGTTCTTTTAGCTCTTTCTAACCACTGTGTTATTTCTCTATCTCTCCTTCCCTTCCTCCTCTTCCTCTCCTCCTCTCCTCCTCCTCCTCCCTAACCAGTCAGTCATTACTCTGTCTTCCTCACCTTTATCTTCTATTTAATATCTCTTATAATTCTTCTTTATTCTATTTTCCTTATTCATCTTCATCAGTTTTCTTCTTTGTATGAAATTTTTATAATAATAATAATAATAATAGTAATAATAATAATAACAACAACAACAACAACAACAACAACAACAACAACAATAACAACAATAACCACAACAACAATAATAACAACAACAACAATAATAGTAATAATAATAATAACAACAACAACAACAACAATAAACAACAATAACAACAATAACTACAACAACACAATAATAATAATAATTTTCGTAATTCAAAATTTCCCCAAAAATAAATAATAATTAAAATTCTTTAACGACGAATGACCTAACACAACAGTTTCAGTGACTACCCCCCTTATGTCTCATGTAGTCACTTAAGTAACAGCTGGCTCTTGAGGCCTTATTTGGAATACCAGTTGAGGATTACTTCTTGTTGGCAGCGTTGAAATCTCCCGTGACGTTGAGAGCCAAACTTAGTTAATGTCTCTCTCTCTCTCTCTCTCTCTCTCTCTCTCTCTCAATTATGTAACATGAGAGAGAGAGAGAGAGAGAGAGAGAGTATACCCAAAATAAGGTATATATTTACACTATTATACCTGGAGTTATCTATCCAGGACAAAAGTCAATCCCAAATTAAGTATAACGAGTATAATATCGATATACTATTATAGTCATTTTAAAAGTATATAAAACATCAAATATACCTTGACTACTTTACGAGTTACTAATAGTATATAGAACTGAATATACCTACACGAATATATACCGTATAGGCTAATTATATACCACTTTGGGAGCTGCGTCAAGTATACTACTATAGATATACCCAAAAGACGTCAGTAATTATACCAACGACGAATATATTGGCGTATTATTTTGTGGTCTACGAATGGTTATATAATTAGTATATACGTCAGCCTGGTGTAGAGGTATACTTAAGTGGTGTAGCCTGGTGTAGGGGTATACTTAAGTGGTGTAGCCTGGTGTAGGGGTATACTTAAGTGGTGTAGCCTGGTGTAGGGGTATACTTAAGTGGTGTAGCCTGGTGTAGGGGTATACTTAAGTGGTGTAGCCCGGTGTAGGGGTATACTTAAGTGGTGTAGCCTGGTGTAGGGGTATACTTAAGTGGTGTAGCCTGGTGTAGGGGTATACTTAAGTGGTGTAGCCTGGTGTAGGGGTATACTTAAGTGGTGTAGCCTGGTGTAGGGGTATACTTAAGTGGTGTATAGTAAGTGGTGTAGCCTGGTGTGAGGGGTGGTATAGCCTGGTGTAGGGGTGTACAAGTGGTGTAGCCTGGTGTAGAGGTATGTAAGTGGTGTGTAGCCTGGTGTGGGGTATGTAAGTGGTGTAAGCCTGGTGTGGGGGTATGTAAGTGGTGTACGGTGTGTATGCAAGTGGTGTAGCCTGGTGTAGGGGTATACTTAAGTGGTGTATACTGTATATATGTCGGGCCCGGAGACAGCGCCACCCTACACCAGCGGCAAGTCGGGGAAGTAATTATCCTATAAAGTGATAAGTAGCTTTCTGACCTCCCTACCTCCTTACCTCCCTTCCTCCCTCCTTACCTTCCTCCCTCCCTCCTTACCTTCCTCCCCTCCCTCCCTCCTCCCTCCCTCCCTCCTTCTCCACACCTCTTCCCGTCAACGCGTCTCTCTCTCTGATAGATTTATTGGAGGGAGTGATTAAGTGGTCACACACATGTACGTATCCAGACACACACACACACACACACACACACACAGACAGACACACACACACACAGACACACACACACACACACACACACCCTCCAGTGAACCATTTCCTCTTCCTTATCCACCTCACCATCAGCTGTGTGTTGCTGCTGGATCAAGGAGCTACTGCAGGCACCACCATCTATCGCTAACCATCAGGACAGGTATTGTGGCTATTGTCTGCAGCCGTCACCTGGGGGGAGGGATGAGCCCAGGTAAGACGGACTTAATTGATCCCTCGCACTGATCACCCACACACACCCTCACCTGCTGCACACAAGGGCCAGGTGGCTACCACAAGGCCGTATGGGTCCTGCCCTTCTTGTTCTCGTAAAAACATTTTATCCCTTGTAAGGCATCAAACTGGCCCGAGAATTTGGTGGTGTGTTACCAGGTGTCGCTGGCCGGGCGAGTCTCTGTCTCAGTGAACTGGTGCAAACCTTAACTGAGACTCACGTTGGTATTACTTCACGAGGGTTTTGGTGACTTAATGACGTTGTCCTTGACGATCACTGTTGAGTAAATAAGCTGGTAAATGTTAACGATGCCGTTTATGGCCACGATCGAAGGCACGTGCCCGGGGGCCAACGCTGTGATTGGCTGCTAGTCCCTAAGATCCCTCCTCTTGTGCCCTCTGATTGGAGAAGATCTGTCCCGGGGTGTCTCTGATTGGTCGACGATGATGTCAGCATCTAAAATGCCCAGTGAATGGCAGGTATCCAGCCAGGAGACTCACTCACTCTCGGAATGTTTTCTTTCGTTTTAACTCAGCAATTTACCATAAATCATTCGTCATAAGCCACACTGATCTCATCTCCAGGTGAATATATCATAAACCAACAGTAAAACTTAAACCAGTGAGCCAGGGAGACCAAACTGGGTTTATAATAACAGGAGGAAGGAACAAGACGTGGAGAAGAGGTCAACACCAGGACGAGTGTGGAAACTGACGAAGGACAGAGGAATAAGGTGGTGGTGGTGGGTCGCTCGTGCCACACGTCTGGAAAATAAGAACAGGTGCAAAGATACAGGTGAGAAACAGTTGAAGCGACGGAGGTGAGGAGTGAGGACGTATCTCTCTCCGTGTCGTGTTGTGCCCCTGAGTCAGTGTATGGTGGGTCGCCTCCCGTCACCTCTACCATGGCCGAGTATCTGGATGTGAGTTATGTGACCTTCTGACCCGGAAAGATAATATTGTAGTGTTGATGAAGGCCACAAGTAACCTGTCCTGGCAGTGAGATATTGTTGAGTGAAAAAAACTTTGTGTTTGTTAATGTTTTAGCTCCGTTGTTGAGGATCTCCTGCAAGAGACAGCCGGTGTTCGCTTGACTAACTCTGCCTCTCTCGTCTTTTCAGATGTGGCAGGACATAGAGACGGTGCTGTTGGGCGACATCAAGTTCTCTACCAGTGAAGGAGCCAATACTTCCTTCATGCCCGCCGCCCACCCCCAGCCGCCCGCACACCCACACACACACTTACACACTTTACATCTGCCACCATCCTCACACGTACAAGTCCCATCACCACCACAACACCCTACACACACACAGCAACACGTACACCACCAGCCACCCACCCACCCACAGCCACCCAGTACACCCACGCAGCAGGCCGCCCCACAGCCTCCCAACCTCGCCCAACCAGTGTCACGGATGACCACGGTGTCAGGCGTCAGCTCATGTCAGCCCGAGCCCCGCACGTTGTCGCCAGCGTCAGGAGAGGCGTGCCCCAGCAGCGCCCCGTACCCGGCGTCCTACTCGACCCACCACTGGCGGGTGAAGAGTGAGTACGGGGAGCAGGTAGTACCCGAGGGCTCCTGGGAGTACAAGGAAGGCTCCTGGACCGAGTATTACCCGGCCACCGACCCCGGCCTCCAGTACGGCTACTTCCCCTCCACGCCGCCCTACCCTGCAGACCTCTACCCCCCGCCTAGCTCGGGGCCGCCAGCCTACCAGCCAGGACTCCCCGTCATGTCCACCAACCCCCTGTTGACTCCGCCGTCGTCACCGTCACTCATGGGTGGCCAGGTACCCACCGGCCTCAGTGGCCCTCTGGCCCCTAACATGGCCTCCTGCCTCCCTGTAGGACTGCCCCACGGCTTCCCGACGGTGGGCCCGCAACAGCAGGCGCCCGCCAAACCCAAAACTCGCCGGAGACGCACCTGGACCCGCCGCAAGGCAATAATCCACACGTGCTCCCACAACGGCTGCGCCAAGACGTACGCCAAGTCGTCGCACCTGAAGGCGCACATGAGGACCCACACGGGCGAGAAGCCCTACACCTGTGACTGGAAGGGCTGCGGCTGGAAGTTCGCCCGTTCTGACGAGCTGACTCGCCACTACCGCAAACACACTGGTGACCGCCCCTTCCAGTGTAGACTGTGTGAACGAGCCTTCTCTCGCTCTGACCATCTTAGCCTTCACATGAAGCGTCACATGGCCCTCTGAGCCTTAAATGTGACCCTGTGAGACTCTTAAACAGTCACATGACCGTGTGTGCCTCACATGAAGCGTCACATGGCCCTCTGAGTCTTACGTGAAGCCTTAAATGTGACCCTGTGAGACTCTTAAACAGTCTGTGCCTCACATGAAGCGTCACATGGCCCTCTGAGTCTTACGTGAAGCTGTAATGTGACCCTGTGAGCTTCAGCTAGTGTCTTGTGAGCCTCTCGTAAAGCCTCACACGGCTCTCTGACCTGTTTTACATAATAATAAACCTTGACAACGCCGTGCCATATATAAATATAAATATCTATCTATATATTTTTACAATAACCTCCACCTCAGTTGCTTGCCCAAGTGCCAAATGACCGTGACAGTGCCATAGCTCCTGGCCCTCGCCGCCAGTACCACACCTCAGTCTCTCCCCGTGTGCCGTACACCTGTTGAGACACTCAGTGATGCAGTGATAACAGTGATCTCGTGCTTCTACAGTTGTGGGAGGAATGTCTCTCTCTCTCTCTCTCAGTTTATCTGTCTATTCTCTTATAGTCGTATTATTACCCTGTCTGTTTTCTGTTTATCTACCTCCCTCCTCCTCACACCTGTCTGTACTTCCCTCCCAGTTGTCCTTCCGTCTGTCCCCCACGTACAGACAGACGCTCACTCGGCCCGTGTTTGCTACCGTGTAAATGTAAACTTCTTTTATCTAGTCATATCAGGCCCACGTGTTGCTGGCTCGTGTGTGTGTACGTGTAGGTATGTATGTATGTACGTGTAGGGATGTATGTATGTATGTACGTGTGTGTGTGTAGTATAAAATGTACATAGCTATTTTGTACCGTTTTTTATAGAATACATCAATAAAAAATCTTACTAATTTTATATATATTTTTATCCTCAAACATATATATATAAACTGTATATATATATAACTAAATCTATGTATATTAGATTCATATAATATAGTAATACATCATGTATAACGTCCCCCTCTAGAGTGGTATACATTTTAGAGTTTTTCATACCAGTATACATTACGAGTATACTGAGATAGTGTTCCATAGAGCTGTAACGATGGAGCTATACATATCATACATAAACATACACCCTCCAGGGATATACAACTCTATACATATGTCTTTTAACCTCTATACATCATGGATACGGGATCATACCTGCACACAATAGTCTATTATACTGGGCTATACATATACAGTATATCCCCTTATATCAAGAATATACACTAGGATGTTTCTCTACATATATGTATACATTAAATAACTATGTATACACTGAATAACTATGTATACACTACATAACTACAGTATGTATACACAAAATAAAATATTGAAATAATCCAAAAGTTATTAGAAACTTGTAAAAAAATTGATTGTTTTCATGTAAAGTTATTTTTTGGGTCAGTGAGTAAAGTTACACACATTTCTTTAGGGTTTGTACATAAATTAATATTGTCGGTATTTATGAGGCGTTTATATACTAGTGATGAACAATGGAACTATTAAAGTGAATAACAAATAAACAAAGAAAATGATAATAAATGATAAGAATAAAAATAATAATAATAAAAGACAAGAATAATAATAAAATAAATAAAATAAACATATAAATAAAAACAATAAAATAAAAATTAAATCAAAGAAAAAATAAAATAACAAAAATAATAAAATATAAAGGTAAAATTTACGATAAAATAACAAGTCCAAATAATAATAATAATAATAATAATAATAATAATAATAATAATAATAATAATAATAATAATAATAATAATAATAATAATAATAATAATAATAATAATAATAATAATAATAATAATAATAATAATAATAATAATAATAATAATAATAATAATAATAATAATAATAATAATAATAATAATAATAATAATAATAATAATAATAATAATAATAATAATAATAATAATAATAATAATAATAATAATAATAATAATAATAATAATAATAATAATAATAATAATAATAATAATAATAATAATAATAATAATAATAATAATAATAATAATAATAATAATAATAATGATAATAATAATAATAATAATAATAATGCAGGTTATTAATCATCGTATCCGTGCCAGTATTAAGACTCGTTGCCTCTAATATGATGAGAATAATTGATAATTTAATATAATTGGAGAGTATCATAGATAATAGTGATGTAATTGAATGGTTATTATATAGTTCAATATCTGGTACGAGGTTAGGAAGAGAGTAAAATGACTTACAAGTTATTGAAGAGATTATGAGAAGAAGGAGAAGAAGAAGAAGAAGAAGAAGAAGAAGAAGAGGAAGAAGAAGAAGAGGAAGAAGAAGAAGAAGAAGAAGAAGAAGAAGAAGAAGAAGAAGAGGAAGACAATGAAATAACTGAGAGAAAAACAACAATAAAAAGTAAAAAGGAAAATAAGAAGAGGAACTGATGATAAATAAAAGATGAAATAGAAAAATAAAAAAATAGATAAATAATAATAAGAAGAAGAAGAACAACACGAACAAACAACAAACAAGAACATGGTAAATAAATGTAGTAACATATAAAAGAAAAGTAGCAAAGTAGCCGGACGGAACTAGCCAAGACGAGAGACCATTTTGCCCCCGGCTGACTCTGTTCAGTTTTTTCCTAAGATGGGTTCGTTCCAAGATGGGCCAGGGGTGTTGTGGTCAGACATGCATTTAATTGGTTCCATATTGTCCGTAAGCACGAATGGTAACCCGAGACCCCCAAAAAAAGGATTACGATTGGTTACTTTTTGTAGGTGTTTTAACCAATAGCGTGAGAGAGAAGTAACGTTAGGTGCCGTAAACTATGGATAAGGTGATTCAGTGTTTGGGTGATTCAGTGTTTGGTTACTATATCAAACACTTTAATTACCTGCCTTCATTAGAGACCCAATTAAGAAGATATATATACTTAAATGGCATTATGGTGTCTTTAATGAATGGTTTTTGGTGAGATTTTAATGCATTAGAGACTTATATAAGGTAAGGTGAGGTAGGTGGCGTCAGTAGGGAGGTCATTGGAGGGAGCACCTATCTGGGCCTTGGTTCTAAACTATTTATCATTCCATTATTTCCTATTAAATTATCTTCCTTTTATTCCTCCTTCGTCTTTTCCTCTTTCTTCCTCTCCCTCCAAACTAACCATAACGTAACACTGACCTAACCTAACGTAACACTGACCTAACCTAACGTAACACTAACCTAACCTAACGTAACACTAACCTAACCTAACGTAACACTAACCTAACCTAACGTAACACCAACTGGCCTCTGATGGAGATACCAACTGGCCTCTGATGGAGATACCAACTGGCCTCTGATGGAGATACCAACTGGCCTCTGATGGATGGTTGCATTATCTCTCTCCTGTATGGTAAATACATGCTTAATGGCACTACAAGACCTGACCGTGTACCGATTAGACGAGGGAGGCGGGTCATTTATAGGTGCCGACTATGATGCCTCGCTCGCTGAGGTGAACAAAGGTGATCTCAATGTGTGTGTGTGTGTGTGTGTGTGTGTGTGTGTGTGTGTGTGTGTGTGTCCTCAGGAGATGTGTAGAGACAAGTCCCGAATATTCATGACAGGAAGAATGATTTAAAGGGTTTTTGTTGGTGAGATTAATTAGTTCTGTACAGGTAAACAAGATCTCATACATATATACATACACACATACATACATACAAATACATACATACACACATACATACATACATACTGTACATACATACATACATACATAGACATATATGTGGTATATGTGGTGTGGTTCGATATGTCCTGGATACTGTAGTGTGTGTGTGTGTGTGTGTGTGTGTGTGTGTGTGTGTGTGTGTGTGTGTGTGTGTGTGTGTGTGTGTGTGTGTGTGAAATATTTATCTCCTGATTTGTATAATGTTAAGAACTTTCACCTCCTCCCTCTCTCACCTGTACCTCTCCCCTTACCTCTCACTTCTCTCCTCCCACCCCCCCCTCCTCCTCTCACCTGTACCTCTCCTTACCTCTCACTCTCTCCTCCCACCCACCCCCTCCTCCCTCTCACCTGTACCTCTCCCCCCTCTCCTTCACCTCCTCCCACCCACCCCCTCCTCCCCCCTCTCACCTGTACCTCTCCTTACCTCTCACTCTCTCCTCCCACCCACCCCCTCCTCCCCTCTCACCTGTCCCCTCCCCACCCCCTCTCACTTCTCCTCCCACCTACCCCCTCCTCCCCTCCACCTGTCCCTCCCCACCCCCTCTCACTCCTCCTCCCACCCACCCCTCTCCTCCCCTCTCACCTGTCCTCCCTCACCTCTCCTCACCTAGGTAGGGAGTGTCCTGATAAGCATAATAGTCTCCGGTAACCGTCTCTGTTCCTTGTCTTCCTCGTACAAGTGAGAGAAAACTGGTGATAAATAATACTTGGCAACCTCTCTCTCTCTCTTCTTTCTCTTATCACTCAAGCTGTGGGTGGAGTATGATATTGGGTGGGTGTATGATTGCCGTGGGTGTATGATTATCGTTAGTATAGCACCCTTTACCTACCCTCCAGGTAACTCAACAACAGGTGCACCAATACTCGTTCACCGCTAATTAGGTTCATTAGTCTACCTGCGTCACCTGTCGGGTCAGTATCGGGCTGTAATACTAAACACGAGTTGAACTGTGGACAAGTATTAATTTTAGATACTTTTGATGGGCTAAAAGTTGATAAAAGTTTGTGTAGTTTGAGATAATGAAAGTAGCGTATAGAGATTCACCTGATATGAGTACCTGGAACTTCCCTAATTATTAAACTATATATAAATAAAATATAAAAACTCATTATGTAGTTTAATTTCAATACAGAGTTGTTCATAATGTTAAATAAAAGTTATTGTTCAACGTCAGAGACAACGCACACACACACACACACACACACACACACACACACACACACCACCCACACACACACACACACACACACACACACACACACACACACACACACACACACACACACACACACACACACACACACACACACACACACACATAAATATATTCATCTGTCAACGTAAATGTAAAATTATATTGGTACTTATGTATTAATTATTCATTTGTATATTGTCATTATCACTGGCTGATTTAACGCCACACCGCTTACGCTTCACTGTAATATTTCCTCGATAACTCCAATACAAAACACAACATTAACCTTTAGTTTATATTATTATCGTTTGAATATCTTAGTACAATAAATATACTTAAGAAAGTTTATACGACGATTATAATAAAATGTCTGTTTTGTCTTCTAACCGCCCACAATTTATCAATGTAAACAAATGGCCGGACACTACACAACGTTCGACTCGGTGACTCTGACCTTGGCTTAAGCTTAAACCCAAGAACGATAAATCACTAAAGGTAGAAGAAAAATATTAAATATGTACTTGTATATATGGAAAGTATTCGTATATATTCATAATGCGTCAATCTGATACACTCTAAAGACTTTCCAAACTATTTACGTCAAGCTGTGAATGATAGATCAGAATAAATCATAAAATATAGATAACTTAAGCCATACGTAGCAGACGGTACGAGAAGGTAGCCATCTTGGACATGAAGTGGGTTTGTTTACACTGATGAACGCAAGTGAAAAATATTTTGAAATATACTTTTAAGAATGTTTTAAAACCTCCCACTAACATAAAATATTGAAAAAGATTTATAATAACAGCAGAAAGACTTGATAAAGACTGAAAAACATGTATTATATAACAAAAAGGTGTTAGAGTGAGATATATGTCAAGGACCCCGAGTATAAAGAAATATGATATTGTAGGAGAAATTACCAATGACTT